TTGGCATTACCTATTGAAATGGTTGCCTACACTACATGACATATTTGTGTGAACTGCATGTTTCTTCTGTTTCTTAAGGAAACAAAACTTTTTTGGAAACCATATCTTTCTAATCAAAGACGTTCAGTTTCTTCCCACTCATTGTACAATGTGTTTGTATGCTAGCTCACTTGAATGTATATAAAAGCAAAACTGCATATCTTATCGACCTCATTCACTCATGTATCCTTTCATAATTGTGTTGAATTTATTCAACTTAAATGTGTTTATATGCATTTTTTAGTTAAACTACTATATTTTTGTTCAATTGACTGCAACTCATGCCGCAGTTTGCTTCACAAACCTCTACGGTTAGCTTCCATACAATATGTTGCAAGTTTGAGGATATCTCTACATCTTAATTTCTGCTCTCTAGTTGCTTCAAGTTTGTAATTTTATGTGCTACACTGCCGTTTGATTTGATTATAAAAATGTAAAACATGATTTACAAATTTGTATTCAATTTTTGATGTTTTTCCAGTGTAAGGCATATGTTGCACAAATGAGGTACGTAGACTGCAGGGCATATATTTTGCCGTCTTAATTGCAGGGGCAAAATATGTGTAAACTGCAGCTTGCATCTGTTTCTTCAGTTTTGTATGGAAACAAACCATCTGCTTATTTTTGCCTTTGAAAAGTTGTGGTTACAAATTTAGCTACTTGAACAAGTCCTCAACACTTTGTATTTTTAATTACCTGTTGAAATGGTTGTCTACACTGCATGACACATATTATATATGTAAACTAAATGTTTCTTCTGTTTCTTAAGGAAACAAAACTTTTTTGGAAACCATCTATTTCTAATCAAAGACGTTCAGTTTCTTCCCACTCATTGTACAATGTGTTTATATGTCAACTCACTTGAATGTATATAAAAGAAAAATTGCTTATTTTATCGATCTCATTCACTTATGTATCCCTTTGTTTGTTCATAATTGTGTTGAATTTATTCAATTTAAATGTGTTTTATTCATTCGATTACGCCTGAAACAGCTGATTCCCGTGGCAACGCACGGGCCTAATTTCTAGTAATAATCTAATCTGTTGTCGTATTTGGGATACATCGTTAAAACTAATTTTACGCCTAGATAGCTCACATCTTGCACTCCTTACATAAGCCAGTAACGTACATCCACGGGAAAGCGAGACTACTGGGGTTTTGGGTCATCGACTTCACGTTTCAAGCCATGTCACGGTTCCTGCAATCAAATACTTGCTTGGAAGCTCCCCCGCCGATGGTGCAAGGTACGTAATTGTCTTCCTGTAACACCGCATATTGGGTTAGAACAACGAAAACCAGAATACAAGAAGTGTTTCTAGCAAGTTGTTCACTATACAAACCTCTGAATGTCGACGACTGTGACAGACAAACCCAGCAACATTACTGCAAAACAAACAAAAAAAGTAAATATTTAAGACTCTACAGATTACGAATCATACTCTGAAATACAAAATGTCACCGTCAAATTCGCATCCCTATCTCCAGAGACGGAAAAGCAAGCAAGAATTACCACAATACTACTATGTATTTTCGTTCTTGTGACAGTGAGGGGGTAAAACCATCTACTTTCCTATGTGAAGTTCAAATGAAAGTGAACGAGACCGATCAATGTCATATACTTTAGTGATTCATTATCTATTTCTCTATCAGATAGATCAAATCACAATCAACATTATTCTCCAATATTACATTCCTATTACATGTAATAGACCACTTAAAAGGTCGATTTATATTGGATAAATCCAACTAGTATATAGTTTTCAGGTTACCAAAAAGGAAAGAAAAAGAGTGCACCATTGTGAAACCATAAGCTCCTGAAAACTGCAAAATTAGAATCCCAAATCCATAACAAACACAGCCTTACTCAAAAACCTAAAAGCTACCCACAAAAATACAACCTTTGTACGTTCCAGAACGAATTCCAACTCCAATCAAGCTGTAGACATCGAAATTTCGGTAAATAAATGTTGACCGGTAAATCAAAGTGTCAACGCTCATGTATTACATAAATTTTACACGTAACGTGTGACTCAACGAAAATTGAAATGAGTTGGAAAAAGTCATCAAATAGGACACGTGTCAACACCTGGCAGAAACGACTTATTTCATCTGAAATATTATATTCAAAATTAGGCCTTGGAAAATTCTATAAATACAAGCCCATTTCATTCATTTGGGGGAGACCAATTCATATTACACCTTGAAGCTCTGAAGCTCTGAAACTCCAAAGCTCTCAAGCATCCAGGTTCCCGAAGAATCAAGAAAGCCTTCTTCGTTCTTCGTTCATCGTTCTTCCAAGATCAAGCCCCAACGGCCCTTTGGATCAACAATCATCCACCAATTCAAGATCAAGCCCCGACGGCCCTTGAAGAAAGCACCATTGTTCATCATCCGTTCATTCAAGATCAAGCCCCGACGGCCCTTGAAGAAAGCACCATCGTTCATCGTCCGTTCATCCAAGATCAAGCCCCAACGGCCCTTTGGATCAACAACGTCGGCGAATCCACACACATCCAACCGTTCTTCAAGATCAAGCCCAAAAGCCCTTGAAGATATGTTCATCACTGTTTCTTCAAGATCAAGCCTAAAAGCCCTTGAAGATCCACTCATCACCGTTATTCAAGATCAAGCCTCAAACGGCCCTTGAAGAAACATTTATCCTCAAGATCAAGCCCCAACGGCTCCTTGAAGATCCGCTCAAATCCACCTTTAAAGATCAAGCCCACCGCCCTTTGAAGAAACTTCCAACAGTTCATCCAATATCAAGCCCCGACGGCCCTTGGATCAACGAAACATCCACAAATCAACACCTTACGGAGATCGAATCAGATGACAAATTAGAGAGAGATTGTAACCCAAAATCATCAAATACAAATATTTGTTTGTGCACGTTTGTTCTTGTCTCTTTCGTTTCAGGAATTTTCCTTGTTCACACAAGCCACTGCCCAACAACCAATATGCAATACAAACAAAACCCAAAGCACCAAAACGCAATTCATAACAGAAGCACACACAAGCCAATAATTTCAATGAGTTTAAAGCGAATGAGTCGTAAACTCCAAAAGTGAAGAGAAACAGGGGCAGAAATCTTGATCAGTGGGAGTATTCAAACTCCCTTGTTCTGGGGTTCTTCGCTACCGTTCAACCTCCTCATCAGCTCCTTCATTTTGTCACGGACATAAGGAACAGCGTCAGTACACAGTGTTCTTAGCGTTTGGTAGGACTTGGTCCCAATTATCGCAAAATATACGGCCCAACATGCAAAGGGTAAACCACCCGAAAGCTGGAACGAGGAGGAGCACCAGTAGAACCAACGCAAGAGTTCCACACAAGAGGCTGATGTTGTTCATCAGTTCATATATATTTGTATTGTTGGAAGCTTGCAGAATGTTGGCAGTCTGCAATGTCCCCGCGTAAGTGAGTAAATCAGCAAGAATCAGTCTCTTGGAAAAAAACCTTTCTTGGAAAAAAAGCAGATTATATACATATTGATAGACTGCAGATTATATACTTATATACATATGGAGGCAGATCAACTCGCAGCCTCTAGATAATACTAGAAATTTATACCCGCGCGTTGCTGCGGGATTGAAAATTGTATGAAAGTGAAACTTCATTGTTTTAATAACCAAAGTTTATGAAAATTGTTGAAATAACAAAGATACAGTAGCTCTAGGTAGCTATTGTTACCCCTTTGCAGCAGCCTCCTTGTGTAGTACTCTCATTTTTTTTTTCTCCAAGCATTTCGAGCGTATGGCAAGCATTTATCAAAAGTGATTTAGAAAGCAATTTAATCGTATCAACACAAAGAATACATAAAGCATTATACAATGAAGAAACATTCCATGTTCCACCACCACCTCTCAAACTAAATTCTAAACTACGCACAAAACATTCCATGTTGTCAAATTTCCAACTATAGCAAAATCTATAGCCTTTGCATGTACACAAATCGGGTGAGCACATGCGGAAGACTATATTTCAATTAAGTTATCTATATGGTGCAAAACAAAACAACTGTACATGTAGCTTATGAACAACCGTACATGTAGCTTATAAACAACCGTATATGCAGCTTATCAAAATCCTTTACAATTGCTAACTGCATAAGTGCATGCATAATATTCAAGTGAAAAAAAAAGAAAGATAGGCCCCACTTTTCAAATAAGAGCAATGAAGTAGGTTCAAATGAAGCACACAGAGACTAAAAACATGAGATTCTATGACCCACAAAATCGTTTTTATATCAATTAACCAATCCTTGTTGTACTATAGTCAAAGAAGAACAATTGATACTTGAAGATGACTGTCTTAGAATTAATAAATAATACTACAAATAATAGATTTTTCTATATATTAAACAACCACACTGACATTAACTGGTTTTTGTTTATTGATCAATATAAACTGAATTTTCCAGTAAAAAAATTTGATTGAGAAAATGACCAAAATGGAATAATTAGGTAACGATACTTAAAACTGATCAACATTCAAGAAAAAGGGGTGTGAGAGAGTGAGAAAGTCCAACCGTAATAGTGTGCATGAGATTCCCATAGTACCTTTGTAATCGTATCACCCATAGAGCTACTGAAATGAAACCAACAAATGTGAAATTAAAATATGAACTTGATGAATTTAATAGATATATATACAATCTGATATTTCTGGTCAAGAGTATAGAAGATAAAAGCCTACTGTAAAATGAAAACAATTGTAATCTACAAACTTAAGGGTGCAATTGTAAAACCAAAACAATTGTCTGCCATTAAAAGGTGCAACCAAAGCATATAATCTCATTAAGCTCGAATTTATGTAACAATACGTGGATTGGATCACAATCAAAATTCAAAACCCATTAATAAAAAGAAATGAAAGAACACAAATAATAAATATAGCAATCTATTAACCTTTAGTGACTCTCAACATGTGCCTGGAAGAAGGCTTTTCCAACATCCTGAAATCATGTCAAGAGTTAAAAAGCAGCAAGAAAAAAATCAATGGAAAAGCTCTGTAAATTTGACGCAGAGCATATTGCCTGATGGAGCCCTTTTATAATCAAATGGATCAAGTTCTGTTCATATGGTTCCATCATCCAATCTGTCAACTGTCTGAAAGAATGAAGAGTCAGTATCTACATGAGTAAAATCTGAAAAATAATAGCAACAAAATGAGTCAGTTGTTTAAACCAGTGATATACTAAGACAACACCAATACCTGTATATAAACCACAGCTTCTGAGACAGAGAAGAGTGTATTAAGGAATTCCCACCACGTTTCCCTTCGGAGGTCCACCAGTTCCCTCCCGTATATCTCACTTCAATGAAAACAAAGTTAGGCCACACTATAAAATATACTACTCCAGCATTTTCCAAAAATGATATTCCAAGAAGTTAAATGCTTGAAGAACCTAAGAAGAAGATAATACATAAATTTATACTAAATTGTAATATATAGATCTCTATATACTAAAGTAAACTTATTGGACATGTCCAGAAATAAATCTAAGCAAAAACTGAAAAATGAAAACCAAATGGTTATCAAACGCTCCCCAAAGGAATTACACATTTTGGATTCATTAAATGGAGTCTTTCAAGACCTCCAACCAAGTGAAACTGGTATACAAATACAATGCATATATAGGGATTGTCGATCACTGAAAACTATATGCTTAACAATCATTTTAAGGACCATAGTAACAGTCATTTTATCAAACAGTTAGTAGGCATATTTGTCAAACGAAGCCATCAAACATGCTTACTTCGACCTTAAGCTGGTTCCATTCACATATAAGATGGAAAATTATTCCATTCCCTGGAACGATTACAACCAGAGCTGATTTATAGTTGCATATGCAATACTCGCTCACACTTCCTTGTAGTACACTGAAGAAATCCCAGTAATAAAGTGAGTAAAAGAATTGTGTGTGTAAGAGAGAGAGAGAGAGAGAGTAGGAATACCTTTGAATGAAGCCTCTGCCTTTGGAACCTAGGATCACATCTGATGGCTTGACTCATTCTGCTTCGCTACAAATTATATACTCAGAAATTAAAAAACTGAAATATACACACACTAAAAATTGAAAAAATTTGAATTCCTATATATCAAATTCCACATAATTTCAAATTGGTACAATGGAACCAGCACGAACCACTTCGAGAAAAGTGATTCATGTTCATCATTTTCCAAATAAATAAGCAACCATTGTAAAATATTGACATGATACAGCAACGAACTTTCTAGGTGACGTCGTATGGAAAATGATGTCCATGCAAAGCCATAAGACAAAATCATTCAATAACATACATAATATTCGTCAATACATGAGGAGTGGATCTACCCACAGTCATTCTAGTTCGTACAGCCTCAAATCATCATCACCAGACGAATGTTAAACATTTAACATGAAAAGGAATCAATTTCCTAAAATTTCAAAAACCAAATACCCAAAAATTAAGAAACAAAAACAAATAAAAAAAAACAGAAGAATTAGGTGAAAATACCTTATGTAGGATCTTGAGCTCCTCACACGCGTTCCACATCATCTTCTGGATAGCAAAGAAATCTCCATTCATGAAACCTTTATAAACAGACCCTTCAATCAAGCTATTTTCTCTGAACCCATCTGTGGCCTCTCTCAACTTTTCAATCCCAAACTCTCTTGGTACTTGTCCAAGCAAAACATAATAAACTCATTCGAAAACAGAACATCAATTCCACGAAAAATTAAAAAACTTTCTACCTTCAAACATAAAATCTTTCTTTATCTTTCCCAATTGTATTTCTACCTCCATTCTCTCCAACCTAACCTGAGCAATCCATGTTACCAAACAAACAAAACCCAATTCGGTTAATGCTTTATGGGTCATGAAAATTGGCATAAACAGAGATAACCCACCTTTTAATACGCATTTTGGAACCGGAGTCGGAGAGTGTGGAGGCTGACGGAGCGAGACGGTGAAGGCCGTACCTGAGATCACATATTCTCAGGTACGATACGAAACAAAAAATTACAAATCCAAAACTAAAAAAAAAAAATAAGAAACAAACTAAAACATGGGATTGGTGAAGGCCATAAATTCGGAAGGATGGACGCAGAAAGCTCTTAGAGACCGATCCCAACTCAGAGGATGGAGACGGAAACACAAGCCAATATTTTCAAGGTTTTGCGCCGAAGATTGTGAGTTGGGATACAATGTTCGAAACCAAACTTGCACGTTTTGAGAAAGCGTTGATGAATCAGGTTTTCTATGAAGATGGAGAGCGAGAGAGAGCGAGTTGAATGTAGTCTGACGATGACCGACGCGTGGCCAAATGGGTAAAAGCGTCATCTCGCTGTACCAAACGGGCAAGACAAAGGGCAACAAAGAAGATATCAAAGGGCATTTTAACCATTACCCTGCTCGTGAACAGTGCTTTTCTACTGGGTTTTAGTATATAGATAATGTGGATCCCACTTAACTTACAAAGCTTACTGGATTTGTCCCGTAAAAAATAGAATCGCGTAGGTAATTTATACATAATACGATTGGTCGTGTGCCTAAGTTTTGCACGAAGTTGACAAATCAGAAGCCCTTTATTTACACCCTTATCTGTTATATTTGTCCTTTCCACATCTAGAGACATAAAAGAAATAAAACTACGAAGAATGTAGGGAACTTTAACGAAAAGTTTCCGGTACTGTTCACTTTAACGAAAAACCACATTTTTATACTAAAAAGTTAATCCTGGTACTATTTATTTTACCCTTTATTTTGTCCTTATCGTTAAAACTCAAAATTTCCAAGCATTTTTCATTAGTTTTTCTAAGAAGGAATCTAGTACACAAATTGTAAAGTAATGATTTTTTCAACTAATTCTACATTTTATATGTAAACAAATAATTTCCGTACATTTATGGTCGTGTGCCTAAGTTTTGGACAAATCAGAAGCCCTTTATTTACACCCTTATCTGTTATATTTGCCCCTTCCACATCTAGAGACATAAAAGAAATAAAACTACGAAGAATGAATCTAGTACACAGATTGTTTCACGGTAGCAACTAATTGGTACAACTTAACATAAAGTAATGATTTTTCCAACTAATAATTCCGTACATTTATGTTCTTTCATGTCACACTTTATTGTTTATGATATTTAGACTAAACAAATAAAAAAACTAAAATAAGGAGCAATGCTTAAAAAAATTAAACAAACTAAAATAAAGAGCAATGTTCCATCAAATGTACATTTGCGGTTTCAACTTAAATATGTTGTCATTTTAATACATAACACACTCATAAAATTTAGGATCGGAATAACTTCATAATGCACTTTAACGATCGAAACTATTTATATTCTTTTATGCTCATTTAACGATCATCTAAAAAAAATCATGGTTCACCATGTTGTCATACTATTTCATATAAATAGGAATGCAAAGCTTCGAACTTCATGTCGCATACGTTCTTCAGTCCGTGTTCTACTGTTCACGGTCCCACAGAGAGAGAAGAGAGAGAGGAGAGAGAGGAGAGAGAGAAGAGAGAGAAGAGAGAGAAGAGAGAGACATGTAAAGCATTCAGCACCTTTTGATCTTTCTCGTCACCACCCTCCGTCCACGTGCGTCCTCTCATACATTCACCGACTCAGCCCACCATTTTTCTTTGTTTTCCTCTCCATTTTATAATCCCAATCAATCGCTCTGATTATAGCGAATTTCAATGATTTCAACGGATTAGATTGAATCTCAATAATTGATTTATAGCATCTTCATATGGACCTATCATTTCACACCATTTATTAATATCTGATACTAACATATAAGAGAAATTCTTGTATTGCTAATTTAGTGGAAATCATGAATCCTTAAAGATCCATTTTTTTTATCCAGTAATAATGTAGATTTATACAAAGTGCTTGTGAAGGAGCTTGCTCAAGTGGTAGAAACACAACTTTCTGGGAATGCTGAATCTCGAGCTTCTGGAATGGTTATCAATACCATGGGATGGATAGAAGGTCAAGGCTACGAGGTAAATTTTAGGCTGCTTGCACTTCAGGGATGGCTGCTGACTTACGATTGAAGTGGTTGTTTTAATGTCATATATTTGAAATTCGTGTTTGATTTTCTTGTAGTTGCTTCTTCATGCAATTGATACATTCAAAGTATGATTCGTAGTCTCTGGAGATAGGGATGCGAATTTGACGGTGAGATTTTGTATGTCAGAGTATGATTCGTAGTCTGTAGTCTTAAACATGTACTTTTTCGTTTTTTTTGCAGTAATGTTGCTGGGTTTGTCTCTGTCACAGACGTCAACATTCAGAGAGAAGAGAGAGACATGTAAAAGCATTCAGCACCTTTTGATCTTTGTCATCCCCACCCTCCATCCACGTGCGTCCTCTCATACATTCACCTACTCAGTCAACCATTTTTCTTTGTTTTCCTCTACATTTTATAATCCCAATCAATCGCTCTAATTATAGCGAATTTCAATGACTTCAACGGATTAGATTGAATCTCGAATTCAAAATCCAACATGGTAACATATGATTAGTGTAAACCCCTGAATTATGAAATGAACTATTTAAACCCCATGCCAAAGGGACAAACTCAACCCTCTCTCTCACTCCTCCCTCCCTCCCCAATTCTGCCGCGTTCCTCTTCCGCCATGCCAAGAACCGACGTCCCCTTTATGAACGTTGGAACTTCGGTTAATCCTCCACAAATCTCAGCTGGGTTAGTACATTTTCTTTAGTTATCATCTTTTAGTTGTTCAATTTTTCAATCCATGAAAGACCTTCATAGAAAGTGTGTGGCAACTGCCAATGGTTCTACTGCTGCTGTTGTTGGAGCAGGAACAGTATCTCTTACACCATCTCTTCCCTTACATAATTGTTTATTGGTTCCATCATTATCCCATCACTTATTGTCTGTACCTCAAGTCACTGAACGATTGGATTGTGTTGTATTAATGTATCATTCATTTTGCTTACTTCAGGATATTCAGACAAAGGAGATCATTGGGCGTGACACTAAGAAAGATGGGTTATATTATGTGGATGACGTTGTTTCTGGCAGAGCTAATGCAGTTCGAGCATCTCGTACCAATAATTTACAGAAAGTTTGGTTATTGCATCGTCGGTTAGGACATGCTTCATTTGGTTATTTGAGGCGTATGTTGCCTAGTTTATTTCATGAAATAAAAGAATCAGACTTACATTGTGAGGTATGTATTCTCGCGAAGAGTCATCGCGTTTCGTTTCCTCCTAGTATGCATAATAGATTGTTTCCTTTTGAACTTGTGCACTCTGATGTTTGGGGTCCCTCTCCTGTTAGTACTTTGTCTGGAATTAAATGGTTTGTTACCTTCGTTGATGATTGCACTCGTATGACTTGGATTTATGTGATGAAGAATAAAAGTGATATGGGTATGGTGTTTCGATCATTCTCTCAAATGGTTGCAACACAATATTCCTCTGTTATTAAGGTTCTTCGCTCTGATAATGGAGGTGAGTATATTGGTTCCGAGTTGTCCAACTTTCTTCGAGATCAAGGAATTCTACATGAGACTACTTGCCCTCATACCCCACAACAAAATGGGGTTGCTGAAAGAAAGAACCGTCATATCCTAGAAACTGCCCGTGCCTTGCTCATTGGTGCATCTGTACCTAAACAGTTCTGGCTTGAAGCTGTCACTTATGCCGTGTATGTGATTAACCGTATGCCATCCCGGGTTGTGGATTTTCGTACACCTCTCCAAATATTGACAGAATTTGTTCTAGTAGTGTCAACCAATACTCTCTATCCTCGTGTATTTGGGTGTGTAGCCTATGTTCATATTCATAAGATTCATCGTAATAATAAGCTCGATCCATGTGCTCACCGGTGTGTTTTTCTGGGATTTGCTCCTCAACAGAAAGGGTATAAGTGCTATCACCCTGAAACTCGTCATATGTATGTAACTATGGATGTTACCTTTTCCGAATCCGAGTTCTTTTATGCTTCGACTCCATCACCTTCCGATCACCCGGGGGAGAATATGAGTGGTGATCTTGGGTGGTTGGAAATATGTAGCTCAGGGGGAGTATTTATTGACAAAAAAAGTTGTGAAAGCTCTCGGCAAGACACTGCCGAGAATGTGAGTATCATTCAGCCAAGTAGCACTGAACCAGTTGAGTCTTCTAGGCAATGTGTTGCCGAGTATGATGCAGAGTGTCAGCAGGGAGTTGCCTAACCAGTTTCACCGTTCCAGCAACCATTAGCTACCGAACCTGCAACTCCCTCTCTCTCAAGCTCAATAGTGCCACCCAATATGTCTTCTCTGAATATTCCTAAGGTAAGTACTACTGATACTCATGTAACTAATCCAGATAATGTTATGAATACATATAAGTTGTCGCCAAGGCAAAATCGTGGTGTTCCTCCTGACAGGTTTTCTCTCGAAGGAAAAGTGAAGTATCCAATAGCTAATTATATGTCATGCTCAAACCTTGCACCAGAACGTCAAGCCTGGGTAAACAATGTGGAAGCAATCCAAGCACCAACCCGAGTTGAGGAGGCCTTGAAGGATCCTAAATGGGCTACTGCGATGGATGAGAAATGATGGCATTACATAAGAATGATACATGGGAGGTAACAGAGCTACCTAAAGGAAAGAAACCAGTTGGGTGTAGATGGGTCTTTACGATCAAATACAAGGCAGACGGATCGGTAGACAGGTATAAAGCAAGGTTAGTAGCAAAAGGTTATACTCAAACTTATGGTGTTGATTATCAAGAAACATTTTCTCCAGTAGCGAAGATGAATACAGTACGAGTTCTGATTTCTTTAGCTGCAAATTTGAATTGGCCACTAAAACAGTTTGATGTGAAAAATGCTTTTCTTTATGGGCACTTGGAAGAAGAAGTATATATGGATTTTCCTCCGGGGTACGATGCCGGAGGGAAAACCGGAGTATGTAGGTTACGAAAGGCACTCTATGGACTTAAGCAATCGCCTCGTGCGTGGTTTGGTAGATTTACCCAAGTTATGAGGCGGATTGGGTATTATCAAAGTCACTCAAATCATACATTATTTGTGAAACGAGGAAGTGGTAAAGTGACAGCCTTAATTATTTATGTGGATGACATGATAATAACAGGTGATGATTCGGAAGAGATGATGAAGCTAGAACAAAACCTTGCCACCGAGTTCGAGATGAAGAATTTGGGAGATTTGAAATATTTTCTTGGCGTGGAAGTTGCTCGGTCATCTAGAGGTATTTTCTTGTCTCAACGTAAATATGTTCTGGATTTATTGAAGGAAACAAGGATGCTTGGGTGTAAACCCGTGGATACTCCCATTGTGGAGAAACATTACTTGGGAATTTATCCGGATCAAGAACCAGTGGATAAAGGTAGATATCAGAGACTGGTAGGAAGACTAATTTATTTAGCTCATACCCGTCCAGATATAGCCTATGTAGTAAGTGTGGTGAGTCAGTTTATGCACTCGCCTAGTGTGGATCATATGGCAGCTGTTATGCGGATTTTAGCTTATTTGAAGTCGGCTCCAGGAAAAGGAATTTTGTATAAAAATTCTGGTCATCTGAGGATTGAAGGATTTACTGATGCTGATTGGGCAGGTGATGTAACTGATAGATGCTCTACTTCTGGATACTTTACGTTTGTTGGAGGAAATCTAGTTACTTGGAGGAGCAAGAAGCAAAACGTGGTGTCAAGATCGTCAGCTGAGGCCGAATTCAGAGGTATGGCACATGGAATATGTGAAGTCCTTTGGTTACGTAAGTTACTTGATGGTCTAGGTTTCAAAGCAAAAGAGGCGACAAGTTTGTATTGTGATAATAAATCCGCACGGGAGATTGCAGAGAATCCGGTACAACATGACAGAACAAAGCATGTGGAGGTTGATCGTCATTTTATTAAGGAGAAGCTGGAGAAGAAAATTGTTTCGATACCGTTTGTGAACTCGGAAGAGCAACTTGCGGATATCCTCACACATGCCGTGTGTAGTAGATCTTTTGGTGACTCACTTGTCAAGTTGGGCATGTGTGATATCTATGCTCCAACTTGAGGGGGAGTGTTAACGTGAGTGGTATTAAAAAGGGTATGTAATTATATTGTAAATATTAGAATCCTTTATTAGGAAGGTTAGTTGTATGTCTTTTATTGTTTCCTTATAGAACAAGGATTGTATCTTGTATATATTGTCTATTATGCAATACAATGAAAATTAAGCCGTAAAATTCTATTAATACGACAACAGATTAGAATATTATTGTCGTATTTTTTGCATCCTAAATTTGTTATGCAAGTCTTGTTTGTCGTATTTTAGATTATACTAGAATTTAGAGAGGCGTGCCAAAGCCTGAATTACTAGAGCTTGGCAACCACAATTTTTTTTGTTTTTGTTTTCTGTACAAGATATTTAAACGAAGGACTAAGGGATGGAGGAATAAATTGGTTACGAACTACTAAGTGGCATTTAGGTATTGTTCAACTGTGATATAACCTATAAGTTAAGGTAGCCCTTGCAATATGAGCTCTTTCAATTTATCCCAGGCATAAAAAGGTGCTGCAGCTGCAGCTGCACTTCCACAAAATCCTTTCAAGTATTGGTACGACTAAGTTGCAACTCTCACAAAACAAACCGTTCAAAAATGGCACTACTTTAGCAAATTATACTGTAGCAACATAATTTTTGAGATTTAATAAAGTAGAGTTTGCTACAGTACAGTAGAATTTGCTAAGGTAGTGCCATTTTTGCGATTGAATCCTTCATGCCAAGTAGATTTAATAGAGTAGAGTTTGCTACAGTAGAATTTGCTAAAGTAGTGCCATTAAATCTACTGTAGCAACGGAAATTTTTGGGATTTAATAAAGTAGAGTTTGCTACAGTTAGAATTTGCTCAAGTAGTGCCATTTTTGAACGGTTTGTTTTGTGAGAGTTGCAACTTAGTCGTACCAATACGTGAAAAGGATTTTGTGGAAGTGCAAATTGAAAGGAAAAAAAAATCATCAACAATCTGAATTTGCAAGGAGCTCAATGATATTTCGCTTTGGTCATCTACATTTAGCAATTGTAAAAATCAACAATCTACTTTTTCACGAGCGGGAAAAACTCATTTGAGGCATTTCAATCTCCACCTAATTACTATCGCGTGTTTTCTTTAATGCTAAAAAAATTAAACTTAGAATGTGTCATATGAAATACAGACCTAAAATTTGTCCAACTATTGAGCCACTCCATGATGGTTCATCTTCTCGAATTTAAAATCATTAACATTTTTTTCCACCGCCATGCCAAAAGGCCAAACACACATTGTGCTTGCGGTTGAGGCTGTTAAATAGCGTAGGATTAACATGGAGTGCGCGGTCTTCTCGTTGGAAAATCCATATGTCCATATGTGTATTGACACATATTGCAATGTGCTTGCCTAACAGTGTATAATCCATATTGCAATGTGTATAATCATGCAATATGTGCAATAAGCGAGTAATCATTGCAATATGTAGAATGAGAGCGAGTAAGAAAAATAATCATTGCAATATTTTGTCCATTCTAAAAAACAAAATGGAGAATGGATTAAAGCCATCCGACATTTGATTTTTAGAGAATGACATAGATTTAGGGTTAGAATGAATATTGAGGGTTAGTTGATCTGATTTAGGGTTATTGATTTTTAGAGAATAATCATTGCAATATTTAGGGTTATAGATCAAAGCAGATCAGGGATACAAGCCGCATATGAACTTTAGTCTTTAGTCCTACTTTTTTTTTTTTGTTTCTTGGACGGACGCTGACGGATCCGGACGGACGCTGACGGATCCTAAGTGGACAGATGTTTTTTGTTTCTTGGAAGGACGCTGACGGATCCTAAATGTCAAGAGTCCCATGTGCTACACATCGAATTTGTGTCCATGTTAATCCTACTACGGCTATTTAACAGCCTCAACCGCCATGCCAAAAGGCCAACCACAAATCCTCTCTCACTCCTCCCTCCCTCCCCCAACTCTGCAGCGTTCCTCTTCCGCCATGCCAAGAACCCACATCCCCGTTATGAACGTCGGAACTTCTCCACCAATCTCAGCTGGGTTAGTACATTTTCTTTAGTTATCATCTTTTAGTTGTTTAATTTTTTGAATCCATTCTTCTCTGAAACTCTTTCATTCACGCACGTCGTCGGGGAAAGTCTACTCATATGAAGAATGTTGCATCTACTCTTTCGTTGGAAGCTGATTGTAAAGCATCTACTTTCTGTGTTGTTTATAAATTTATAATACAGCAGCACTATGGAGGAGGGTGGTCGGTACAAATCTCCACCGGCAGCACACAAATGTATATTCCATCTCCTCAACAGCTTAGGAGTTCTCCTCCAGGTGAAGCATGCGACCGGAAATTTACCATCTCCATTTGTCACAGACCACAACACTGTTGTGATGTTGATTGCTGATTTACTCACTTACGCGGGTACATTGCAGACTGCCAACATTCTACAAGCTTCCAACAATACAAATATATACGAACTGATGAACAACACCAGCCTCTTGTGTGGAACTCTTGCGTTGGTTCTACTGGTGCTCCTCCTCGTTCCAGCTTTCGGGTGGTTTACTCTTGCATGTTGGGCCTTATATTTTTTGATAATTGGGACCAAGTCCTACCAAACGCTAAGAACACTGTGTGCTGACGCTGTTCCTTATGTCCGTGACAAAATGAAGGAGCTGATGAGGAGGTTGAACGGTAGCGAAGAACCCCAGAACGAGGGAGTTTGAATACTCCCACTGATCAAGATTTCTGCCCCTGTTTCTCTTCACTTTTGGGGTTTACGACTCATTCGCTTTGAACTCGTTGAAATTATTGGCTTGTGTGTGCTTCTGTTATGAATTGCGTTTGGGTGCTTTGGGTTTTGTTTGTATTGCATATTGGTTGTTGGGCAGTGGTTTGAATTGGAGTTGGAATTCGTTCTGGAACGTACGAAGGTTATATTTTTGTCGGTGGCTTTTGGGTTTTTGAGTAAGGCTGTGTTTGTTATGGATTTGGGATTCTAATTTTGCAGTGTTCAGGAGCTTATGGCACTCTTTTTCTTTCCTTTTTGATAACCTGAAAACTATATACTTAGGCTTTCCATTAGTTAAGCAGATTGGACAAAGCTGCATTCTAATTGAAAAAAAAAAAAAAAATAAATCAGCAATCTGAATTTGCAAAGAGCTCAAACTAATTTTACGCCTAGATAGCTCACATCTTGCACTCCTTACATAAGCCAGAAACGTACATCCACCGGAAAGCAATACTACTGGGGTTTTCGGGTCATCGACTTCATGTTTCAAGCCATGTCACGGTTCCTGCAATCAAATACTTGCTTGGAAGCTCCCCCACCGATGGTGCAAGGTACGTAATTGTCTTCCTGTAACGCCGCATATTGGGTTAGAACAACGAAAACCAGAATACAAGAAGTGTTTCTAGCAAGTTGTTCACTATACAAACCTCTGAATGTCGACGTGTGTGACAAAGACAAACCCAGCAACATTACTGCAAAACAAACCAAAAAAGTAAATTTTTAAGACTACAGACCACGAATGCTCTGAAATACAAAATGTCACCGTCAAATTCACATCCCTATCTCCAGAGACGGAAAAGCAAGCAAGAAATACCACAATACTACTATGTATTTTCATTCTTGTGACGGTGAGGGGGTAAAACCATCTACTTTCCTATGTGAAGTTCAAATGAAAGTGAACGAGACTGATCAATGTCATATACTTTAGTGATTCATTATCTATTTCTCTATCAGATAGATCGGTATAAGTTACCTAGAAATAATTTGATCAGGCTCCTTGGCAAATGAAACAGCAAGAACGGTATGCAGCAAATCCCGGTTAATATTCACAGGCGCCATTCTTGTAGGGTCTGCAGCAGGCTCTGCACCAATTGGCAAAGCCGAACGTGGGGGCCTGTGGCCCGCCACCAATCCGAAAGACAGAAAACTCACTAAAATTCGCGATATTAGAATGTGGGCTGAGATCATTTGCAAGGCCATAGAAATACTCCTGTTAGAAATATCAGTGCACGAGTCTTTTCTTCAGGAAGAACAAATAACAAGGATTAAATGGCAACATATTGATGCTTACCCTTATCCTATGACTCCTGGATTTTTGACGGAATTTGGCATTCCTGGATACAACACCCCCAGATTTTCGAAGTTTTACAACGTCCACACCGGGCTTGTTCTTTAGTACATTTCTGATCATGCTCCAAAGTTTTTCCTGAGAATTTAAAAGAAATATATGTACTGTCATCGGAGCCTATATATACAACCATTTTATTAAAACATCAAAATGTTTTGCAAACAAGGATGCATTATGCTAACCAAGATGAACTTTGTAACAGAGTCGAGCAACAATAGCAAAGAGGGGGGAAAAGGAAGAAATGCTTGCAGAATCCAGCAACGTAAAATCATAATAAGAAAAAAAAAACTCAAACTAGAGGGATGTACCTGGCCCAGAACTAAGACAACGTTGGCATTGAATGTATCAATTGCATGAAGAAGCAACTGCAAGAAAATCAAACACGAATTTCAAATGTATGACATTAAAACAACCATTTCAATAGTAAGTCAGCAGCCATCCCTGAAGTGCAAGCAGCCTAAAAATTACCTCGTAGCCTTGACCTTCTATCCATCCCATGGTATTGATCACCATTCCAGAAGCTCGAGATTCAGCATTCCCAGAAAGTTGTCTTTCTACCACTTGAGCAAGCTCCTTCACAAGCACTTTGTATAAATCTACATTATTACTGGATAAAAAATGGATCTTTAAGGATTCATGACTTCCACTAAATTAGCATGACAAGAAATTTACTTATATGTTAGTATCAGATATTAACAAATGATGTGAAATGATAGGTCCATATGAAGATGCTATAAATCAATTACCTAGGAGTTGTGTGCCCATAGAAATAAACGAGAGGTATATCAAGAGGAATTCCTTCAACCGGATCAAATAGGCATTTCAATAGGAGTAGCGGCAATACATCCCGGAATTGTTATAGCTCCTTGTCCAATATCCAAGTCGACGAAAGTAGGTTTCCATCCCTTCTTAGCTGCCCAACTAAGAAGCATTTTCGACAAGGTACTTTTCCCAGAAATCTGTTGGTCCCACAACAATCACCCTAGGGCCCTAACCACAAAGAAAGCTTATAAGCCATAGACAGAGAGTCACTTGGAAAGGATTACAACAATCCTAGGTAATATGCACCAAAAATGGACTTGCATTACTACACAGTAGATGCACTTGCGCCACAAGCTTATCTCAATCATTCCTAAAAATTTACAGAGCTGGCAATGGAGGATCAAACACTTTTGTTCACTAAAGAATGACACTAATTAAAACACATTGAAAAATTTGCACTAATTTTCCCCAACATAGAAGTGAGCAAGTGTCAAGTAGTACCTGAGAATTGGGGTCATCGGGCGGCAAGGGTTTGGCGCGGTGTCTCCGTTCTTCCAGTACGGCGTGCACATTCACATAGCTGATATTTGGAGTCTGAAAAATCAAACATTTGAATCAGACACCATTCACATTCTCATTAGTGACAAGCATATGACATACCTCATCAGCCGTGTACTCGGTTTCCGTACTGCCCTCCATCTCAATTGTTGCTCCGTTCCAAGTAAAAACCTTCAACAACCAAAACCCACAACAGAAATGCAATTCAAAATCTTTAACAATCAAAACCCACAACGCAAATTCTATTAAAAAGATGTAAACTTGGGAAAAGAACTAGGGGAAGAAGAAGGCTTACAGCAAATTTGACTGGGCGGGAAGGTGAGCCAGAAATCAGGGGGGAGCTCGGTGCCGGCGGTGCCGCTGAGCAGGCGGAGCTTGAGAGGGGCGTCGTAGCCGACTTCGATTCTGAGCTCGCTCTCTCGGTCCAGTTTCACCTGCCTTGGTCCGCCGCCGTGCGCCATCTTCTTCTGCTAGCTTGGCTCTCGGTGCTCCAATTGGGGTTTTATGCAGGACAGAGTACAAAACTGGCGCTTCGGATTCAATTGGGATTCCGAGGGGTTTTAAAAGGGTGTTCATTTGGGATTTCAATGAGTAAAAGAGTGTAATAAGACACCGGAGGAATTCCGTTGGGAATTTTAAGAGTGAACTCTATTGGGAAGATATCCTTTCGAATCTCTTTCACTGAAGCCCCAAATCAAGTGATATGTCTCCTTGAAATTTAATTCACGATTAAAAGTAAAGAAAAACTAATAAAAAGGACTTCAAAACTTTGAATTTTAACAAAAAAATCCAGTACTAAGTTTATTTAATGGTTAAGACAAAATCCAACATCAAACTAACCCAATAAGACTAGCCCAAGAAATGAGTTTCCAGTTTTACCCCTAACAGCAACTCTGTCCCGTTTAATCCTCTCTCCCTTTCTCGATCTCTCCAGACTCCACCTAATCTCTGCTTGTCGATCTCCGGGTCTCAACTTTCCGCCTAATCTCGATTTCTCTTTTGCACAGAAACAATTCCTCCGCTTTTGTAATCGAATTGATCTCTGTACCTCTCTTTCGATCTCTCCACCTTATCTCTGTTTTCATTTTCAATTCCATTCGAATTTACAATTTTTCAAATCACCATATTAGGAGTCTTTGAGGATGAAGGAATTTAAGGCTATTGGGTTCTGGGCATCCGCAGCATGAGCATTCGCAGCATTGGTGGTACTGCTAGGTACAGACACTTCTCCATGACATTTCTTAACAAATTTCTCCAATATTACAGTTTCCCTTAATTTCTTCATACATTTTAAAGTTCTAATCAATCTTTTTCGACCTTTAACATTCCCTAATACAATTGTTAATAAGTAAGTTCCATGTCTGCAAATAAAATAAAAAAACACATTTTTTACTTGTTATCTTTATATTTTGAAATTTCTCCAGCAATCCGTCATGATCTACCAAATATATTAGTTATTAGACATGTAATATGCAGATGTACCCCTTTGTGTTTGTATGCATAATTTTTTTTTAAATTATTTATATTGCTATGTGGAAATTGCATATTTTTTGTTATTGCTCCGTTGAATACGAAGTCAGTGCTTGGAAACAAAAACGCCAAAGCAAATTAAAGAAGAAACTTAAACAAGATTAATGATTGACAGCTCAATGGAGCATTTTAGGTACTTCATAGTAAAACCTATGTAGGAAATGTGGATAAATCGCCCCGAATTATGAAGGACCCAGAGTTCTCTGCAATTGTCTTGCTTAAAGAGAATTTCATGAATTTGAATATCAAAATAAAAGTTGTTTTCTAGGAATGATGATTTATGGTTTTTAGTTTGGTATTAGCATTTGTTGTTTGGACACAGGTACTGTTTTTGTGTGTTAGGTAGTGTATAATAACTTAAAGAAGGATAAAAATGGCTACTGGAAGTGGTTTGCTGGGAACCTGGCATCAGGCGGTGCTGCTAGTGCTTCATCTCTTCTTTTTGTATATTCTCTGGACTATGCAAGAACACGTTTGGCAAGTGATGCCAAGGCTGCCAAGAAGGGTGGTTGAAAGGTAGTTTAATGGTTTAGTTATGTTGGAATTATCATGTATCGTGGACTTTACTTTGGAATGTACGATTCTCTAAAACCTGTGGTTTTAACTGGTGGCCTGCATGATAGCTTCTTCGCTAGCTTCTTGTTTTCTTGTTGGGATGGGGAATTACGATTTGTGCTAGATTAGCTTCTTACCCCATTGACACAGTGCGTCACGGATGATGATGACCTAAGGAGCAGCAGTTAAATATGGTAGCTCTTTGGATGCATTTAAGCAAATTATAAAAAAAACGAGGGTGCTAAGTCGCTGTTTAATGGTGCTAGAGCAAACATATTCCGTGCTGTTGCAAATGCCAGTGTGCTTGCTGGCTATGACAAGTTGCAAGTCATACTTATTGGCAAGAAGTATGGGTCTGGCGGCAGTGGTTAATGATGCTATGTTGACAAAATCATTAGTTATTGTGTAAGCACCAACTCTAGTTGAAGAATTTGGATAAAGGAAGCTTGCTTTTTATGTTTCCAAAT